ACGTCATAAGACCTCAGTTCCACAGAGGGTCCTGCCCTACACCCAGAAGGAAGGAATGGGAGAAGCCAGGAGGAATCTCAACAGACAAGCCTTGCTGGGCTTCCTCACTCACTCTGTTAACATTAGATCTTGCCCTTTCTGTCTGGTCATATTTCTACACAGCTGTCCATACTTTGCAAAACATAAACATAAAAGAGACAATTTCCCCTATATCTTCAGGGCTTCATTCTAAAGGCTCCCATTCATATTAAATAAATCTGTATGCCTTTTCCCCTATTAATCTGCTTCATGTCAGTGATTTTTACTGAAAATTTAGGGGGCCAAGACCACAGTTTGGCATCACAAATAAGATCACCAGAGTTACTGTGTTTTTCTGGAAGCTGCAGAGAAGGAAACACAGGAATTTGACAAGCCAGGAGAAGAGTAAGAATTTCCTGCTGGACTCCCAGTTTTCCTCTCTCTTTCCATGGACTCTGGATGAGTGGACAGTAGAAATCGTTGTTTCCCTTGTCCTTTCCAAGTGTAAGATTAATGAGAGAACAGGTTTTGTGTGTGACTAACCTTGGTATAGTGATGCTGATGTATTTTTTGCTATTTTGTGCTATGAATATTCATGTTGTTTGACCCCGTTCTTTTCAGAAATAGCCTTTTTGTTGTTGCAGTTTTCCTTTGTCTTTGCCTTTTGTTGTTCTGTCATAAGAGGGGGTACCCTAGAGGAGAACAGGCTTGCAACCCACTGATTGAGTAGGCCCTGCAAACCCGTCAGTTTCGTGGTTCTGGTTAGACCGACTTCTGTTACAACAAAGTTTGCTGCCGGTCCCTGAAATAAAAACAGGGTGAGGTTTCCCTCTTGTCTTATGTCCTTGAGAGCATGACATGACTAGATGGGGATATTCCCACTTGGTCTCCACCATCCAAAGGATGTGATTTATCGGATAACATCACAGCCTGTATGAAAAGATTGGGAACCCAAGACGTCTTTTCTCTTTTTTTTTTTTTTTTTAAGACAGGGTTTCACTATATTGGTCAGGCTGGTCTCGAACTCCTGACCTCAGGTGGTCTGCCTGCCTCAGCCTCCCAAAGTGCTGGGATTACAGGTGTGAGCCACCGCGCCCAGCTCCAAGACCTCTTTTCAAACATTCCGAGCTCTTAGGGGAGTGTCGTCTTACAAAGTCTCATCCCTACTAGGCTCTGTCTTCTTTGACATAAAGAAACCTTTTGATTAAGTCACTATCGGAATTAAATACCCCATTAAAAATTCCAATTGTCAATGGCCAAAAGATAAATCCTTTAGACTAAAATTTGTAAATTTTTAAAAAACACTTATTCTTAACAATTGATAGAAAGATCAAATTAAAAGGACACATAATAGTGTCATAGCTATCCTTAAAAATTCTCTTGATTAAATTAAAGTACAAAAACCTGACTTAAAACAATTATACGCTAACTGCCCACTTTGGATTCCATACAAAATTAACAACGGAGGCTGCTCCGTTTTACAGTTTAATAATTAAAATTCCCACCATGGCTTAGGGTCTCCTTCCTAATCAGAAATCGGTCCTTTTCAACTTAATATTTATGTGACTTTTAAAGTATCAGCGATTTGGCCCAACTAAAATCTGGTAACAAGAGATTTAAGGCCAGGCACAGTGGCTCATATCTGTAATCCTATCACTTTGGGAGGCCAAGGCAGGCAGATTGCGTTAGCCCCAAAGTGGCCCAGGCTTCAGACCAACCTGGGTAACATGGTGAAACCCCAATCTCTATAAAAAGTTTTAAAGGGGAGAGAGAGAGAGAGAGATTTAAAAGAATTTTTGTTAAAGAGCTCCATGGTTAGAAGTCAGCTTAATTAAAAGCTAATATTCAAGCTATGTGTCTATTTTTAAAGCCTTTCTGTGTTTTCTCTTTAAATCCTATTTAAAACAATTTTTTTCAGTAGACTAAAATCTTTTTTTAAAAACATGTTCGATATCTCTATGCACTTTCTTAAAACTTATTCTCCCATTTACTTTTATTCCACCCTATTCCTCCTTCCTTGTTGCCATCTTCTATACGACGTTTTTAAAAAATCTAGAAAAAGACTTCTAATGACTCAGACTCCTTAAAAAACTCAGAAAAGGCCGGGCGCAGTGGCTCATGCCTGTAATCCTAGCACTTTGGGAGGCCAAGGCGAGCGGATCACCTGAGGTTGAGCGTTTGAGACCAGCCTGCCCAGCATGGTGAAACCCCACCTCTATTAAAAATACAAAAATTAGCTGGGTGTGGTGGTGCATGCCGGTAATCCCAGCTACGCAAGATACTGAGCCACAAGAATAGCTTGAACCCAGGAGGTGGAGGTTGCAGTGAGCCGAGATCACACCACTGCACTCCAGCCTGAGCAACAGAGTTGAGACTCTGCCAAAAACAAAAAACACCTCAGAAAAGATGTCACTCTCCCCTTGTTTGGGGTCTCCTACTTTCCTTGTGGAGTTTCAAGAGTCATGGGCAGATTCTTCTCAGGTCTAAAGCTCTGCTCTCTTCTACACTAGATTAACTAATCTCTTTTGTTTTTGAGGATACCAAATATTTGTATTATTTAAAAAATTATACAAATAGCTAGTCATATATAATTAGATAAAAATATAGTTTTAGAGATGACTTATGACAGTTATTCACAACAAATTATTGCTACTATACAGGGCTACTTCTTTGTGCATTTAAATTTTTAAAAACATGGTTTGGTGCATGTAAAGACAATAAAAGCAGTCCCCACAGAGAGATGAAACTCCCATTAAAAATAGGCCAAGCATGGGGTGGGCTAATCGGCACTGGGCTGCCCACCAGCCTTGGGGGAGCATCTTTGCAGTGGAACACTCAATGAAAAACGCCACACATTTTGTCCCTCTTTTGGGGGAACCAGGATTCAATATAAAAATGAGATCCTTGATGGGAGGGATCTGTATTCTACCTTCCTGCTATGCCTGCTTTACACATTTAAATATGAGGCCCTAAAAACTAGGTTTTCTTCCCCCTATTTATTAAAGGGCTCCACCCCAAAGCCAATAATCTAATTTTAAAAAGCTAGTTAAAAAGCCCAAAATACAGCTTTCTTTCTTTTTTTTTTTTTTCAAGACAGGGTTTCACCATGTTGGCCAGGCTGGTCTTGAACTCCCAACCTCAGGTGATCCGCCCACCTTGGCCTCCAAAATGCTTGGATTACAGGCGTGAGCCACCACGCCCAGCCCAAAATACAGCTTTCTGAAAAAAACAAACAAACAAACAAACAAAGTCCAGGCGCAGTGACTCACACCTGTAATTCCAGCACTTTGGAAGGCCAAGGTGGGCGGATCACAAGGTTAGCAGTTTAAGATCAGCCTGACCAACATGGTGAAGCCTCTGTCTCTACTAAAGCTATAAAAATTAGCTGGGCATGGTGGCAGGTGCCTATAATCCCAGCTACTCAGGAGGCTGAGGCAGGAAAATCGCTTGAACCCAGGAGGTGGAGGTTGCAGTGAGCCAAGATCTGCACTCCAGTCTGGGTGACACAGTGAGCCTCTGTCTCAAAAAAAAAAAAAAAAAATCTCCATTTGTAAGGGCATCTCCCTCTCTACACCCAAACCTCCAAAACCTTTTAGAATAGAAAAGACAATGGCTTAAAGTTTAGATAACAAACCTTAACTTTATTTAGATCTAAATTCTGTGCCTTAGAGATACACATTTTCTACCTTTTTTCACCTAAAAGTCATGTCTTAGAGATACAAGTTTAGAGTTGCCTAGTTAATAATTAAGATATAAAACAGGTAATTTAAAAATTGATCGTCTGAAGTTGGGGAAAACTACCTAGAAACTGACAAATAAAAAATCTGGTCTAGGGGCCAGGCTTGGTGGTTCACGCCTGTAATCCCAGCACTTTGGGAGGCTGAGGTGGGCGGATCACAAGGTCAGGGGTTTAGACCAGCCTGGCCAATGTGGTGAAATCCCATCTCTCCTAAAAATACAAAAATTAGCCGGGCATGGTGGTGCATGCCTGTAGTCCCAGCTACTCAGGAGGCTGAGGCAGGAGAATCACCCAGGAGGCAGAAGTTGCAGTGACCCAAGATTACATCACTGCACTCCAGCCTGGGTGACAGAGAAAGACTTCATCTCAAAAAAAAAAAAAAAAATCTGGTCTGGGATAGTGGCTCACGCCTGTTATTCCAACACTTTGGGAGGCCAAGTTGGGAAAACCACATGAGCCCAGGAATT